GAGAGAGAGAGAGAGAGAGAAAGAGAAAGAGAAAGAGAAAGAGAGAGAGAGAGAGAGAGACGTAGGGAGGAAGGGATGTAATTGGAGATGCATCAAGTTGGCAATATTAATGAAGTGTTGTCGGCGAGGCGGTTGTGTATTTTGGAAAAGGTATGGCATGAGTTTAACTGTCTGTCTATCTCTCTATTTCCTTATCTGTCTGTCTATCTATCTGTCAGTCTTTCTGTTTGTATGACCATCAATCTATATTTCTATCTATCATATTCTATCTATCTATCTATTCATATGTATACCTAACTGTCTGTCTATTTCTCTGTTTACTTATCTGTCTATCTATCTATCTGTCAGTATTTCTGTTTGTATGACCATCAATCTATATTTCTATCTTCTGACCATCTATCTATCTATCTAGATATATGTCTGTCTGTTTGTTTATCCATCCACCTATCTATCTATCTATCTATCTATCTCTCCATCCATTTATCACTCAGTCTATCTACCCATCTCTTTTTAATTGACCCCACTCCACAAAAAAACAACAACAACAACAACAACAACAACGGAGTGCATAGAAATAAAACAAGATTTCAGTGTTGTATCTCTTGTATTTTTATCATATTTTGGATTCTTGATAAACCCAGACACATAGAAAAAAAGAAATGCATTGAGATCTAGTTTGACATAAAATAAGCTCACTTCTGTTGAATTAAACATAATTGTATAAATCAACATTAAATATATAGAAAAACATTGATATCAGAAATTACAATTTTATGCCTTTTTTGTAACATGGTTATCGTGAAATATAAATATATGTATATATAAATATAAATATGAATATAAACTTTATAAATATATGTATACTTATAAATGTTTATAAAAACTTTTTTTATATGTATACTTAAAAATGTTTATACAAATGTTTTATATGTATACTTATAAATACTTTATATGTATACTTATAAATGTTGATACAAATCCAAAACCGACAAAAAGTGTTTGGAATATATGAATAAATCTCCCGATGATCTGAACAGAAAAAAAAAATCAAAACAGAAATTTAAATTATCATAAGAATGCTTAAGACACTATAATTTAACATTCACTCTGACCTCGAAATAATGATAAATAAAATCAAATTACATGGATTGAATATCATTTATCCTTCATTTAGGAAAGAAGAGAGAAATAGAGACAAAAAGAATATATAACTAAAACATATCTAAAAAAATCCTTATAAACTATTTTCTACACTACTGTATATGAAAAAAAAACTTAATTAGATAGACAAATAAATAGATAAATATTCGAGTGAATTGTTAAATGAGCAGAAATAATTAAGAATGAGAGATAAACTAAATCTAGATAAAAATAGATTAATTATAACAAACTAGAAATATGATATAACCCGTAAAAAAACAAACAAAAAAAAACAATAACATACAAACTCTTTAATAAAATTAGAATTGAGAATGATAACCATAGAAACACTTTGTGAAAATAATGATAATAATAATAAAAAAAGCGTACAAAATATTTACAAAAAAAGACAATACAAAGTCTTTACATAAATAATAATAACAATAATAATAATAATAAAAGATATACAAAATCGTTACACAAATAAGAATAACAATAATAATAATAATAAGATATACAAAATCTTTACATAAATAGGAATAACATAAATACAAAAAAAAAATCAAATAAAAAAAACATGCAACTATTTATATAAATAAGAATAACATAAACATAAAAAAACATTCAACTCTTTATATAAATACGAATAACATCAATAAAAAAAAATCCAATTCTTTATATAAATCAGAATAACATAAAAAAAAAACATGCAACTCCTTATATAAATATAATCTATTCATTTACTTATCAATTTATTTACTTTAGAGAGAGAGAGAGAGAATCACCACAAAACACACTTTCTCTCGGGGTTGAACGTGGCATTGGCGGCGCATCGGAAGGCTTGAGAAAACTCCTGCAGGTTCTGGAGGACGCCCCTGATCCTGAAGGCGCCGGGGATGTGCACGTCGGTCGAGAGGAGGAACTTGAGGGACCAGGGCGTGAACTGGCTGCACCAAAGCTGGGGGG